GTGAAGGGGGAACTAATACCATGGGCTTGATCCAAAGGCTATTAAAGTCAATGTTAGTCTTTCTGTGGACTTTAACTAACTTTGAATTAGGCCCTGTGCAACCAGCCAACTCTCTGGTTTGGGATCCACTGATAGTGAATTTTATACTGAAAAAACTATCCCCATTCAACAACAGTTTCTTTCATTCTACAGATGTGACTGCTCCTCTTTGTCATGCCAGTCTGCCAATAGCATTTTAGAGACATGGTGATGGGAGAGGCACAGTTTAAGGCTGCGTCTCATTTGACAATCCACCTCACTGGACAATCCACCAAACAAGGATTGGAAAAACTTCTGTCAGCAAGTACAAGTGTAAGTAGAACCTTTCTGACTAGAGCTGTGAAAGCTTGTGAAAATGCCTGCCTTTTAATTAAGCTTTCAGATGTTCTGAAGAGCTTGCCCATTCCCATCTGTTTCAGCTTGTCAGCAGATCACAACTTCATTTCTGAGCAGCTTGCTCTCAATGTACACAGAAGCAACCAGAACAGTCAGGCGCCCCAACAAAATTACAATAATGCCCTTCACCATTCCTCTGGTTTATTCTCTGTGCCAGGTTATCACCATCTATGTGGCAGCCTAGCTAGGGGTTAGGTAACAGACGTAGGGGGTCAGATCCCCAGCTAGTGAATAGCTCCACTGACTTCTGTTTACACCAGCTGAGATCCAGAGTCTACATCAGAAAATAGACTTTGCACATTCTCAGGAAATCTTCAGTAACCTCACTGCCTCATCGATAAAAAGCAAGTGTATATATGTGGAGAAAGAAATCTTATATGTGCTCATATATATAGATTGAAATAATTCTTTCAATCCATCATATGTATGATAAGGATACAATTCCTTTCAGTTTATAAACATTGAGTAAGTACCCATCCCAAACTGTGGGCATCTTCACATAAATTAAAATTCTACAATATCAAAATATAGGAATGTAATAACTTTTCAACTAGTTCTTACAAACACTCACAACAATAACATCTATTCTTTCCCTCCCCTCTCAAATTCTGAGCCCTACAGTGGGCTTTACATCAAATATATGTGTGTGGCTGATAAATAGATGCCTCTACACACAAATTGAAAAGATTAGTGCAAATAACAAATATAATTATTGTATCATGCACTAGTAAAGATAAAGTAGGTTTTACACTGAAAGTATTAGCTGTTACACTCTGTAAGTTGCTCTTCCAACAAGCTGGTTTGCACTCGTATCTGCTCCTCCAACCTCTGTTGTCAAAAAGATAACAAGAAATTCAGCAGAATGACCTGATTTCTTAGGACATGGTGACCTGCTTCATTGTTCAGTCTTTAGCCATAAGCTTTAAGTGCCAAACCTCTAGGGAGCTCTTTGGTCTTTAGCCATAAGCTTTAAGTGCCAAACCTCTAGGGAGCTCTTTGGAAATGTGCAGAAGCATCATCCTATGGCTGCAGTCAATGTGAGGAGAAGAAATACCCCTGAATTCCAGTGTTGTTAATTTGATCCAAAAGAATGGAAGTATCCTAAGCCCTAAACTGGGTTTGTGTTATATTCATCTTAGATATAAACCTTTACAGCTGGGAGGAAATTCACAATGGGACAGCTCCTCAGCTGGCATAAACTGGCATATACATTTATATCCGCTAACACCTTGCACTTTCATTATTGCTGTTTTTTTCATGTTTAATGTATTTCAGGAAAAAGGGAATGTGCATTATTTAATTAACCATAAGCCCAAAGCAGAAGACATGAGGGGCAGTCTCATTTGAAACAGCCCATTGTCCCAGAAAAACATCCCTGTGAGTTTATTCGTTCAAATAGGAGGAAATTTTGAGGGTTCACATTTCAAATGGCTGCAATGATTTGGTAACAAACTTGTGAAAATACTGACTAATTTTGTGCAAGGATATTTTATATTGTTTCTCTTTCAATAGGTGCCACTGAGAAGTGAACCATGAAAGTTTTTATGTGTGATTCTATTTGCCACCCTCATTTTCCTCAGCATTGCCCTCTGACTTTGTGCAGTCCAGATTCTGCTACATGAGAAGTTCTCAGATTGAGGTCTTTTTTGGCAGACTGAGGAGCCATTCCAGGTAGTCCATTGAATGGCTTCTGTTACAGTCATGAAGCATTTTTCAGTGTCAAATAATGACAGAAGCTAGTTATTTCCCATTCCAAGAATCTCTTCATGACAAGGCTCTCGACCTGGAGTTAGCAATCACCTTACCCTTACCAGATTAATAAACTGGAGATTAGGTCACAGCTAGATCCCATTTCAATGGGAAGGAGGTTTTGCAGTGGGGGATGGGTCCTGGTATGGGAAAGGATGGAAAATATTGAAAACTACTGTCCTAGATTTCCCTTTCATACAAAATAAACAGACCCAATAAAGCCAAGCCTCAGAGGCTGTCCTGTGTGACTTGTACAGGTTGATTTGGAAAGGTTTCCTTTTGGTGTGACTTCAACCACAATCCAATTTGCAAATGTGACTCCCCGAGGTGTATAGACACACAGGAGGACAGAACCAAGCAGCCAAGTGACCTGCAGTGATTAGAACAATGGAGCCTGCAGGCAGAAGGAGACTAGAAAAAGTTCTGTAACCAGGAAAAAGAAATAAACAGCACAGATACAAAATACAGGGTGTCAGTTACCTAGTGAGCAACTCCTCTGCTCTCTCCTGAGGTCTCTTAGGCCTTGCGCCATCGCCTTTCTCAGGATGGAATCACATGATTCTCTCGCTCTCAGGCTAGGCGCTGGATTGCAGTCCCCTAGGTATCAACTGTGATTTATCTCAGCAGGACTGACCGAGGTCCAGACCACTGGGGCAATGACAGCTGTGACCCAACACATGTAGATCAAAAGCATTTCAGAGGACATCTTAAAAACAACAGTGAATTGACTGAACTCATGTCCAGCTTGCCAGGTGTTGCGCCATCTTCCAAATGGATGATAGGCCTAACTCCCAATAAACTCTTCCACAGGTCCTTTTTCTGTGGCTACTTGTTTCCCGCTCAGAGCTCACCGACAGTGCCTAGCAACCCATACTCTTTCTTTTCCTCACAAGCCTTTTTTACTATTCTTTTGATCTCTAGTCTCCCAGTCTGACAAAATAATTGCATCACATTGGCCTGCTTAGAGCCTGGAAACATGCCATTGTTTTGTAATTGCCCCCCATTGATTGTGGAAAGTTGCTTTTTTGGGACCTTTGTGTTGCCTTCTTGTTTTTTTCTTTACCCACAGTCCCCTGTTACCCTACATCATTGCATTCCTTCTGGAAAGTCCTATCACGCCCTTATAGAGTAACTTCTCATCCCTGCCTAGGTCACCTACCGTATTTATAACATTTCATTGCTGTATTCATAGCATTATTATACACAGCCCCACATCTGTCACACAGAGATATAAACAAACAGCCACCCTTCTGTTTATTAAAGTGACTTTGTTGTGAAAAGTGTGACCAAATTTGGGTGGATTTTCATGGGGATGGCTAAAAACACATTAAGGACACCAGGGTGAATTCCCTGCCAAATTTAAAGTCTCTGCACCAAAGGGTGAGGGCAGTATACTGGAAAGGTCAAAGAAAAGGTCACCAGAATTGTTTGGCATGGCTGAAGTTTCCCAAAACGTTGTGTTAGGCAGACACATGGCATGGGCAATTTCAACCCAAATGGTTAATGTTTGGCAAAGTTGTAAGCAACAGAAAACCCAGCTTCACCTACAATGAAAATCTTTGAGAACCTTCTATATGAGAGAACTTATGGATGCAACAGCTTCCAAAGTATGGATTCCAGAAGGACCTCTATTGTGCACTGGGCAAGTATACCGTTACCCAATTTTTCCACTTTCTCAGAAGTATAATTTGTGTCTCTGCCCAAGCCAATGTAATTCATGGCAACCAGGCCTGAGGGATGGTGGTGTAGAGCCACAGAATACATGTAATATGGTGCAGCCCTCCCTCTTAGACTAGCAGTCTGCTGGAAAAGATATGTAAGAAGTCTGGATTTAGAATTTCTGATTAGGCCTAGTTGAAAATTTTCCACTGAAATTGTATTTTGACTGAAAAATGAATTTTATTTCATGAGACAGTGTCGTCTTTCCACAGACAATTTTGAATATTTTCATCAAAAAACTGAACGCCTGAGAACGGAATTTTCAGCTACAAACTGAACAGTTTTGATTTAAAAATACTGCTATAGTGCTTCATGGGAGCTCCAGTACGGCTGTGTCATGCCCCCCCTTCTGTTCTATTGGCTGGGTTCCCCACTTGGGCTACATCTCTTATAATGCACCATGGCCATGTTCTTCCATGTTGCACAATTGTAGCTCATCAAGAGGGAGGGATCATGGTGCATCTTGGGAAATGCAGTTGTGCCAGGGAGCCTGGCCCATAATGTAGAGTAGGAGCAGAGGGTACTCAGTATATAATTCACATGAGACACTGTAGCAGCATTTATAAATAGAAATATTCAATTTAAAACTGAAAGTTTTCAGCTTTCAAACTTTTGCTAGAAGGTGCAAATTTTTCATTGTGGAAACCCTCCCCCTCCATTTTCAGCTAACTCTACATCTGAGCTCTAGTATTGATTTTGCAACTTGTTTTCTGTGTGAGGCATACCAAGTCAATGAACCTCTCTGTGCCTTACTTATGCTACCTGCAAAATGGAGATAACACTTATAGTCATGTTGTGAGGCCTAATTAATGTATATTAAGGAATTTGATGTCCTCCGATGAGACGCACTGTAGTATGAGTGCCTATTATTATTGTTAGTTTATTTTATGTTTTATTTAACCTTGCAGTACGATTTTTCTCTCTCAAGGATGTGCTGGATTTTGTACCAAAACATCTTAGTTTGCACTCTAAAATGGTGTTGTGTGCTTTTTACAGGGATTTGGAAATTGTAACTAAAGAGTTTAAAACATTTGTTATACCAATACAATAAAAACCAGCAGGATCTTATTAAAGGGGGAAAGTCAAAATACCACATTTATTGTGAATATAGAAAGAATCATAGTAAGTAGTTAGTTATAGCTATAACACTCCATTCAATCTCATATTTATTCACACATTCATTCATACAAACACACACACACTGGTTCTGCAAGGTTGTTATCATAGTTACCAGCCTTAGAGTTGCTCATGCCAAGCCACTGGCCAGGTGGCCTGGACATGAGGAGGGAGCAGGGCCTTGTCAGATGCACATCTGATGCTCTTGGAAGTTGGTTTGCAGAATCAGACCCCAAAGTTCTCACTTTCTAGAGTCCATTTTTATAGGAATTTCTTCCTCTGCCAGTCTATGGGAATTGCTTCATCATGCTGTTGCTGAATCAATCAGCAGATGGCACATTCCTGACGGCTCCGTGCTGCTAGATGTTATCTTGTTCTTTGGTTCTCCCATTCTTGAGGCTGTTGGCTGGATTCCAGTCTGCCCTCCGGGCGGTCCTCTGGTTATTTCCACTTGACGCCTTCTTCAGCTGATGGACACTGGATTCTTAGGCTGGCACCTCCCTGATCATTCAGTTATTATCCACACCAAGCATTCATCCACCTACATCCTCTATCTCTATTTTAATCACAATTGTTAATACAGCAAAAGGGCGGGGAGTCTCTGGGTGCTGTTTCTGTTGTTACAGAGTATTGCTTTGAGTCTCTCTCTGTGCGAATTGCTTTGAGAACAGACTCTGTCTTAGAATGTACTAACGCAATTAGCAGCTTGCAAGTTTCACACATAGAGGGAGAGAAACAGTACCAAAAACCAAGAGACCTCTTAATTAGTAATACCCTGGAATTTAAACTCTGGGGAATCAAACTCATTTGTGATTTTAATACAGAACTTCTTTAATATGATTCAACATATTTACATTATATTTGGGTTTAATATGCTTTCTTTATTCTAATTCATGTGAAATTTGTTGCCTTGCAGAGCTCTGCTTACCCCCTTTCAGAGGCAACTCTGATATTATCACTGAGATTTTTCTGAGTATTAATTTAGATTTAGCTGTCAAAGAGAGATTAAAATGATGACTATATTGTACTGCATAATCAAACTAAATCATTGCTGAAAATCACAAATACACATGAAAAATATTTTGTTTCACTGAGGAGTCATAATGAGCTACAAAGTTGAACATGAAACAAATCACTTTGAATCAATTGTCTTTATTAATGCTGTTTGACTCATTGCCAGTGCTGATAGTTTCAGTCCATTCCAGGTACTGGGAGTGATAGAATACAAAACTGTTTCTCACAGAAGAGAGAGGGACCTATCCAGAAAATGTCTTCACCTTTTTGGCCTTGAAAACCCTATTTTAGGACCTAGAAATACAGAGGATCAGAACTAAGAATCTTGTCAAATTCTCTTTGATGAGATAATCATGTCACTTCTGGAGTCTTTGTTTACTCCAATATCTGCCTTGGATCTGAGCCCCAGGAATAACTCTGTGCTTTACAATCACTGCAGCATATCAAGTACTTTGACAGTAAATATCGTCTCCTAATCCTGTGTGTGTGTATGTATATATATATATATATATAGAGAGAGAGAGAGAGAGACTACAGTTAAAGCTATACAGATCATCTTTTTTGGCAGAATCAGTGCTTTAACAAGAAGAAAGTCAAAGCATGTAGCATAAAGGTCGGATTATCTGCGGTTCTGAGTCAAGTTATTTGAAAATTTTCTATTTTCAATGTTTTTCAGCAAAAAGCATGGACTTTTTTCATGAAAAGTTTCACAAAAAATGTTTCACGTTTTTCTACCTGCTGTAGGTCTGACCATCCATAACTCCCACTGAAGTCAATGGCAGCTGTAGGTGCTAAGCATCACTGAAATCAGGCTGTAAGGTCTTTCTTTTTACAGTGATGGAGGTAAAATTCTGCACAGTTATAAGCTGCTGAAACTCCCACTGAGTTTAAAGTACTATCTAGTAAACCTCATACGTGTCAAAGACTGAACTGACTAGCTCTTCTAGTTCTACTCATGCTCTTGTATCATCCTCATCACCATGTTATCTGGGTGCCTTCCAGTAGTGCAGTAACTGAGATGTGACTTACATCTGAACAAAACAGGGGCTTATGAGAAGATGACCTTCTATGGAAGGACCCAACAAAACTAACACTTAGCAACTTAACATGTCAAAAGCACATCCATGATGGCAAGCTGTATATTTAAGTTCCCAGCAAACATGAAGGCAGGTCTGGTGAAGTGAAGGTGATCTAAAACTATGCTGCAAGACAATCAAAGGCCTGATCCAGTGGCCATTGAAGCCAACTGATATCTTTCCATTGATTTCAGCAAGCACTGAATTGGACCCCAAGGGCCAAAGTCAGCAAAGGGGTCCAATTTGGGTCCAACTCGGGTCCAACTCAGGGACTGGTACTCCCTGTGACTGTAGACAGATCTCGCATATCTCATGAAATTAGAGCTGTGGAACCTGAAATGAAATTTGCCTGGTTTTAAGTCTGATTATGGAACTGACTTGTTTGGCTGAAAGGTTCTGCTGGCGCTAAAACTTTTTGAATGACATGTTTATGGCTTTTGTATAAGGCTGCCACCTGTCCAGGTTTTCCCAAGATCCTCCCTTTTTTGAGGTATCTATCCAGGGGAATCTGTAAGGGTGCTTGGTACACACTGCCAGCTGTCCAGTTTTATGGGCTCATGATGTCCCAGGTTTTTTGTATGTCAGAGACCACAACCCTATGTCATCATAACAAGAAAATCTCAATTTTCCATAGCTTGGACATGAAACCAGGTGAAACTCTGATTTTTTTTTTCCCTTTTGAAATGTTGGGATGTTCAAACATGAAGCTTGGGGAGTGCCAACCTACATGAACGGAAACGAGAAAATGGACATGATTTTAAAAAGTGTTTTGTGCCATAAAGGGGCCTGATTTTCAGAAAGTGCTGAGCACTTGCCCTGCAAGGACCAACTCTGGCCCTAGCACATCCCTCAGGTAAACAGCCTGTGCGCTAAGCAGGGCCATGAAGCTTGGGGGAAGGAATCCTCTCTCCCAGAAGGTCACAGAGTGACACTTTGCACACACTTTTGCAGCCCCTCTCATTGTGGGGAAATAGCTAGATCTGTAGACACAGATCAACCAGTCCCATCCCCAATTATCCACTGAACTGCTGCCACTGCCCACCTCTCCAGCATGTGCTCCCCAAACTCGGCTACTCCATGTGGTGCTAATGCAGTTAGGGCCCTTTGTGCTCATCCAAAGAACTCTGCTGAAAACCCATTTTTTAAAAAAATAGCTCTATGAAATCGGAAACCAGAAACAAAGAACAACCAATGAAAAAAACCCATAAAGGAGCTCCGGTCTGTGGATCATGCTCCAGTATGATGCTGAAATAGAGGCATCCCTGAAATAGACGGGAATGAGAGGGTGGCACACAGTGAACTTGTTGGGGGAATGGAGTGATGCAAGGAGTCCTTTGTGTGCTGCTGATTTATTAATTATAATCATTTTTATGAGAGATGGCATTCCTTTGTAACCTTTACATATTTTATCCCAAGTAAGCTTGCACTGAATATGACTAAGATAAAAGAATCTAATACCATGGATTCTATTTTCAACAACAGTGTATTCAAAGGAGAATAATAGTTATCAGCTCTAGTTTTTGTGGTGGCTATGAATGCCTCAGTTTACCATTTTTCAGAATTAAAGTGAAATAATTCAACATTCTTGCATGTCTATCTAGAAGCTACTCTCTGCTTTTCAGTACTCTTGACTTGTTTAAAACCTAGAAGTCTTTTAATCGGCTTTTCAGCTAACTCCCTTAGAATAGAGTTGCTTTCCTTCTTAGTTTTTAAATACTTGTTTGTTTTTAAATTTGCAATTTTCTCTTCCTTTTGAAAGGAAACCAAATCCACCTCTGCATTCCCAAAGAGTTAATCCAGACTACATATGTTTTTAAAGGCCGTAGCAGTCTACTAAAGTGATCAAGTGACTGAGTTTCCTTGCAAGTAGTAATGTCCATCAGCTTGAGATGTGCTTTGCAAATTCCTAAATGAATGTTGTTTCTTGTCAGAGTAACTTGCGCTCCTCCCCAGTTGCAGTAGTTCTCCTATGCTTTCTTCCTTGATTTTGTTAGCAGTTCTTCTCTTGGTCCCATAATGTTCTTAATGTGGAAGATGTCAACCCTTTCCATAAAAGAAATTAACAATGGTCATAACTAAAGCCTGCCTCTGATACCTAGTGATGGAAATTTTGCATGCAAAGAACTTATTCTCACAAATACCACAGTGTAAGCTGCAGTGCTGCGCCACTAGATTGCCCACTCATGTTTGTTTTAAAACTGTTGGACCACAGAGTTGACATTTGGTATAACCTTGATCCAGCCAAGCATTTAAACACATCCTTAACTTTAAGTCCCATGGGCTGAAGTGCTTTGCTAGATTAGGGATCAAGAATACTTCACGTATCTAGAATGCTAAAGATGAACTGCCTGTTTCCCTTTAATTTTAATGATGTTTTAAGAAATTCTTAATGAAATAATAGCAGTGACAGAAATGGTATTGACTTGGGCTTACAATGTTATTTTACAAATGAATTTAGCATAGATAGTTTGTTTTGCATCTCCCTGTATTCTTATGTAACCTCCTTCTCAATAGCACAATCTTTGTTCCGTTTTATCATTTACCTGGTCAGATATTCCTAGCAGCAGTAAATTGAGTGAGTTGAGTCTCACTTCCAAGGTCAGTATACGCAGAGGTTCCCAATGGCATTTGTTTGAAGTGTGCTAGTCTGGGGTATGGATATGTACCAGGTATGGTTTGGCTACAGAGCTTGCTCATACACACCAGATGTCAGAGTAGCAGCCGTCTTAGTCTGTATCCGCAGACTAAGGAGTCCTTGCAAAAAGAAAAGGAGTACTTGGGGCACCTTAAAGACTAACCAATGTATTTGAGCATGAGCTTTCGTGAGCTACAGCTCACTTCATCGGAGTACTTGTGGCACCTTAGAGACTAACAAATTTATATTTTCCACTCCATACGGCTAAATTCAGTGCCTTGCATAATGACAGGTTTCAGAGTAGCAGCCATGTTAGTCTATCTGCAAAAAAAAATTTGTTAGTCTCTAAGGTGCCACAAGTACTCCTTTTCTCTTTACACCAGATGTGTTCATCATAAGATCCTTTAATATTCTGCCAGGTTTACATTTAAATAAAGTATTTATACGTAGTGTCGTCTGTATAATACAGTTTAGCCTTCGGTTACATCTCCCTCTTTTTTCCCTACCATTTACAATATATACACAATCATGCTTTCTTTGTGGTTCATTACACATCAGTCTGTTGAGTGTCTCTGAATTGTACTGGCGTTTTAATTACATGACCCGAACATGTAACAACTTGGTCATCCGACTGTCCATTAGCTGCAATGAGTGGTTGTGGTTGGTTTTGAATTGTTGAGTCATCTTTTTGTTCTGCATCCGCCATCTGTAGAGTTTGCTCTATTGATTGTTCTCTCTAAGGAGCAAACTGTAGATGTTGATGTTTTTTGTTGAATTCTCCACTGCTGGACTCGATCATATATGATCTGGGCACGGAATTGTTTTTCTTTGACAGCTGGAGTTGGCCATCCTTTTTCTCCATCCAGTTTGACACTAACAATCACCAGTTTCTAGACCTGGCAGTTCTGAGTGACATATTATAAATGTGTTTGTAGGCTCTTATAGCCTATGTATCCGAGTTGGCAACTCTCTTCTAGTCTGGCCACCTCGGAGATAATTCTTTTCCAAAGTTGGAACAGTAGTTCTGAGTTGTCTTCCCATTCGGAGTTGTGCTGGACTGTATCTAACAGCTGCTCTTTGTGTTGATCTGTAACTCTGAAGAGCAAGGCATGGCTCTTCCTGCTGTAGGGTTGTCTTGGCTGTCTGAACAGCCCTCTCAGCTTCTCCATGCACTTGTGGGTAATGTGGGCTGCTAGTGATGTGATCCGAATCATATTTCACTTGGAATAAATTCAATTCTGCTGCAGTGAATTGCGGTCTGTTGCCTCTCACTATATTTTTCTGGAATACCAAAGTGAGCAAAAAGTGCACTTCAATTTATCGATAACACTGTGACATGTTCTCTTTTAAGTACATTATTTCTATATACTTGGAAAAATAGTCTGACAACCAGGTAACAGTGTCCTCTGAATTTGCATAATTCTGCAACTAGTATGTTCAGGGTCTCTCTGGTAGAGGTGTTTGCACACTGTATGGTTTGGCATTGCCTCTTAAACTGATTTGTACTGGATCTCCTTTCAAAAGACCAGTATCATCAAATCCTCTGAGTTCTTCTACCTCTCTCACTAGGCCCATCCTGGCTGCCACACAGAAACTGAAAAGGTTATTGGTCTTTATCACATGCACTCTGAATGCATAGCCTTTGTCTTTTCAAGTTGTTTCTGTGGTGAACTGGCCCATGAAATTCAGAATACTTCCCGGGCTAGTCCGAGCTGCGTCAGATGACTTCAACTCCGGGAGAGGTTGAGAATGATTGTAAGTCCCTTCTGAGATAACTAACATCAACTCCTGAATCAGTTTTAAAGTCAATAATATTGCCATGAAGATTCAATTCCCCCCCCCCCCTTCAGGGAGGCTCTATGTCAGTTCTCGAACTAGGTACGTTTACCTGCTGTGTCCGCAGGTTCGGCTAATCGTGGCTCCCACTGGCCGCAGTTCGCTGCTCCAGGCCAACGGGGGCTGCAGGAAGGGCGGCCAGCACATCCCTCGGCCCACGTCACTTCTCGCAGCCCCCATTGGCCTGGAGCAGCGAACCGCAGCCAGTGGGAGCAGGGATCGGCCGAACCTGCGGACGCGGCAGGTAAACAAACCAACCTGGCCCGCCAGGGGCTTTCCCTGAACAAGCAGCAGCCCTAGTTTGAGAACCACTGCTCTTTGTCATCACAAGTGTTAGGTCCCAGAAACATGGCTTCTGATAGTCTGTAATATGAGTCAACTTCTTGGCTGCTCTGGAGTGGCAAACAGCTGTAAAATGTCCACATTTCATCCATGTATTTACACAGTGTACCTCTAGCTGACCATGCATCACCTTGTGCCTGTAGGGTGGAATTTGTCCCCCTTTGCCTGGGATTTCTCTCTCCTTGCTTCACAGGTTTTATGATAATGACTTTTAATACTCAAGTATCTGTTTATAGCTTCTAAGTTAGATTCAAGTTGCTCCACCTTTTGCTCTGTTTGACTAATTCTGTCTGTTTTGCTATCTTTTTCAATGTGGTGAGGATTGAATCTCTCTTCAGTTGTAGCTGCTGTGAAAAATTTCCATCTGTTAATCTAATAACCAGCCTGTTTCTGATATTTTCATGTGTTGCATGCCCAAAATCTTAGTTTTTAGCCAATGTATGCAGAGCTCTTATAAAACATTCACCATTTCCCCATGGTGCTTGAATTCTGTAGTGGAAACATGCTCTTTCATAATCACATTTTTCTGAGGTATAAAGTATGCATTAAAACTTAGAACCCTTTCACAGTCATCTTTGTGACTGTTTTCAGTTAAAGTCAAAAGATTTAAAGATATGCTCTGCCTGCTTCCCCGTAGCATAGATTAAAAGACATTACCTCTATAGCTGCAGTTTCTTTGTGCAGCTTGGTACCAAAGAGAAATGTTGCAAAATATTGTTTGCAGTCTGTCTGTTCTGAAGGTTTGTCAAAGCTGAAGTTCTCTGGGGCATCAAAGAGAGACACATTGATAAGATCCTGCGGTCTTTGTGGCTGTTCCTTCTGTTTCTCTTCTTAGTTTACTCCTGACACCATGTCATGTTCTTCTGTATCAGATCTGGCCTGGCTACAGACTCACTTATACACACCTGATGTGTTCATCATAAGGTCCTTTAATGCTCTGCCCACTATGGCTGAAGTTTGTTTAAATAAGGCATTTTACACACAGTGCCACCTAGTGGCTAAAGTATCAAGACAGGTTTCAGAGTAGCAGCCGTGTTAGTCTGTATTCGCAAAAGAAAAGGAGGACTTGTGGCACCTTAGAGACTAACAAATTTATTTGAGCATAAGCTTTCGTGAGCTTTCATCGGATGCATGCAGTGGAAAATACAGGGGGGAAGATTTATATACACAAAGAACATGAAACAATGGGTGTTACCATACACACTGTAACGAGAGTGATCAGGTAAGGTGAGCTATTACCAGCAGGAGAGCAGGGGGGGCGGGGGAAGAGAGGGAAACCTTTTGTAGTGATAATCAAGGTGGGCCATTTCCAGCAGTTGACTAGAACGTGTGAGGAACAGTGGGGGGTGGGGGAATAAACAAGGGGAAATAGTTTTACTTTGTGTAATGACCCATCCACTCCCAGGCTGTATTCAAGCCTAAGTTAATTGTATCCAGTTTGCAAATTAATTCCAATTCAGCAGTCTCTCGTTGGAGTCTGTTTTTGAAGTTTTTTGTTGAAGAATTGCCACTTTTAGGTCTGTAATCGAGTGACCAAAGAGATTGAAGTGTTCTCTGACTAGTTTTTGAATAATTCTTGACGTCTGATTTGTGTCCATTTATTCTTTTACGTAGAGACTGTCCAGTTTGACCAATGTACCTGGCAGAGGGGCATTGCTGGCACATGATGGCATATATCACATTGGTAGATGTGCAGGTGAACGAGCCTCTGATAGTGTGGCTGATGTGATTAGGCCCTATGATGGTGTCCCCTGAATAGATACATGGGCACAGTTGGCAACGGGCTTTGTTGCAAGGATTGGTTCCTGGGTTAGTGGTTCTGTTGGGTGGTGTGTGGTTGCTAGTGAGTATTTGCTTCAGGCTGGGGGGCTGTCTGTAAGCAAGGACTGGCCTGTCTCCCAAGATCTGTGAGAGCGATGGGTCATCCTTCAGGATAGGTTATAGATCCTTGATGATGCGTTGGAGACAGTTTAACATTCCAAACCCCCTCAGTCTTCTGTGTGGTGTGCTGAAGGCACAGCAATGTAACATCCTTAACCAAGGAAATCTATCAACGTGTAAATAAACAAAGTGCTATGAACCTAGAGGGGAATACTGCCTTTTCTGTACTGTCTGTGGCTGAGCCAGGAACAGAACAGAGATCTGCTAGGCCTGAGTTTTAGCCACTCGATCATACTGCCTCCTTGCAAAAAAGAGACTGTTCTGCTGATATTTCAGCACATCCAGTCCTGGTCATTCCTAGGATGTACAGTGAAAAGCAAACATGAAAAATAATCTTTAAGAAACTTAAACAATTTTTTAAATACAAGAAATATTTGTTTCATACAATCTGAACCCTGCAATGTAAAAGAATGGATTTCATTTTGCACTGGAAAAGGCCTCTCTATAACTAAGCCAGAAAAGCTTCTAAGAAATAAAACCATTTTTGGTCCCTCATTTATAACCATTTTCTTCATTCTTTTCTTCTGAAGATGAGTAGTCCACAGCATGCTGTACACACACATACACACCATACTCAGTTTGTCAAACACTTTATTATTAATTGCTATTTTTAAGTAGAAAACAATGAAGCCACCATCATTGTTCTATGCCAAAACACTTACACATTACTAGAATAAAAGAATGATCTGAACCTATTTAAATACAGATAGATTTTTTGACTGGATGTAATGAATATTAAAGCCGGCACAATACATTTCATCCACTTAGCTTTGAACAAATATAACAGCTCTTTTGATAGAGGTGGCTAAGGGGCTAAACCATCATTGCAAGTCACTTCAGGATGATCTATGCATAGTTCACAGAGTACTAAATCATTGCATTTGGCTCTACAGCCCCAATTATACACACTCAGTCACTTGTATTTTCACTTCACACTGATTTCAGATCCAAAAGGTGAAAATTCAGAACTTTTTCTATACAAGAACATTAGCATATTGTGTTTTTACCCTAGCATTAACCGCTTCCATGGCCCAGATAGAAAATCTGGGGCTCTAAAATTTAAAGGAAAGTCCATTTTTGGTTGCATGGCTCAAGAATATATTTTATGTATTTGTTTAAGCAGTATATGATCCTTGGTTTGGACTTCCAGTGCTAATTTGAGAGTGTAAAAACAGATTTTACACTACGTGTCTTTCTCTCATAATATTGAGACTCATTCCTCAGCGCAAAGAGCCATTACAGTTACCAAAACTCACCTGTTAACTGATAAAACATAATAGCTTGTGGTTTGATTAGATTTTCTTTGGTTCACTCTCTGACTAGTGACTAAAGACTTCAGGGTCTTTTCTCATGGTCTCAAACTTCTTCATAACCACAGATGATGTGAAACCTTTGGGCCTTTTGGTCAGGGTCAAAGAGACACCAGAATGGATTTGAGTAGCAGGCTGCACTTTTATTAGTGCTGGAGAGGGGCACCTCTACCCTGATGCCCCAATGTCAACCATTTAAGTGGGTCCAGTAAAGTAGGTCACAGGACTCCCACCATATAACCCATAATTCAGGGTAGAATCTTCTCAGCCTACTCCTAGCATTCAGCTCACTCTTCTAAAGCATCTCATCTTCCCTCTGTGAAGGGGAAAGGTGGTACAAAAGGGGTGATTTTAGTCTGTGAAGACATCAGGACTCCTCTTCTCCCATAGGGCACAAGGTCCATCAGCAAGATCACAGTTCCCTTACCTCTGGGAACTGGCCCTTTTTGGCTTCTAACCACAGTGAATATTAGCTGCAAGTTGCAACAAGCAAAATGATCCTTCAAAGTCCTACTTCTGCTAAGTGAAGAGTGCCTCCAAAATGCCATGAGGAAAAACTTCCTAACCGCAAAACACGCAACTGGTCGGACCCACCACATCCTAAATACACAGCTCCTGTACTACAGTTACAGAGAGAGATGGTGCGGCAGCTAGAAAGGGGCAAGAGGCTCTAAGGACCAGGTTTAAACTGAGGGGAGGGAGCAAGAAGGTGATTAGTTCCCATTTCTCTCTGGCTGGCCAATGGTAGGAAGAGAACCTCTTTGGGCATAAGCTTTCAGGGGTAAAAAACCCACTCCATGCATCTGAAGAAGTGGGTTTTTTACCCATGAAAGCTTATGCCCAAATAAATCTGTTAGTCTTTAAGGTGCCACCAGATTCCTTGTTGTTTTTGTGGATACAGACTAACACGGCTACCCATCTGATACAGAGAACCTCTGCAGAAGGAGGGGCAAGTCCCTTCATTCTTAGGCATGCTCTCTGTCCTCTGAGCCTGCCTTCCACACTACCATCTGACCAAGTTTCCAACCTGATGAGGCAGGTGAGTGGCATTCACCTGTGCAAAGTAGCTGGTAAGCCAGTGGATCTAGCTACCTGTGGTATAGCATGGGTATATCATCATTATGTCAGTCCGTTTCTGATGCCTGGCACAGAGACCGTGTGCTTCAATGATGCCCTGCTCCTCGAATGACCTCTTGGAATGATAATCAGGTATAACTAGCCCCCTGGCATCTTTAGTCATCTTTGCTCCATCATCTCTGGCCTTGCTCTGGATGGGGCTTGACTAAATCAAACAATCTGCCTCTCTAGTATTTAACTGCAGTATGCAAGATAAAATTAATTTTAACTGTCTAGGATGGAAAATATTAACTAGCTTTTAACCCAGAATTCTCAGCTTACTTTTTGAGATCAAAACTAAACAGAGGAAAAAGATAGAAGAGGTGGGGGGAGGGGAAAGAGGAGGTAGAAGGGAGCAAATGCTCAGCTATTTTTGGATAATAGGAGAGTGGTGACCAGCTCACTCCCAACAACTGGCTTCTTTCTCGAGCAGGCAGTTTCGCTTTTGGTCCCTCTGTGGTTCGGAAGGCTGGATCAGGAGAGAGAGTCAAGTTCTTTCAGATGGGATGCAGTTCCTCTTCTCTCTGGGGTTCAGGTTCATCATCAGCAGAGTCCAGTTAGGTCTATTTAGGATGCTTTGTTATAGCCTTCACTTTAAGGCAGTCCAGTCCTTAAGTCTTCAATAAGACATGCTCCGTTGCTGTGTAATAAAATGGTGCACAAAGTGCTGCAATTGGTTTACTCTCCCACCAGAAGCCCCCGTGTTTGAATTATTTAAAGCTAAACTAGAGGACAACTCACTGGAGAGTATGTGGGGAACAATCCTTTGCTTGAAGAGTGGGAGCGCAGGTGACATTTTTGCTTTTTTTCCATTGCTAATGTTGTGATTCCGTTACTGAAACTCTTCCACGTTACAGATGGTCTGGGACTGAGAGCCACAATGTTTTCATGGCACACGCCAGCTTTAAAAAGCAATACATCAATGTGACATGACAGTATTAGCCAATTGCTGCCACCCCATGCCATCATTTCAGTTTTGGAGCTTCAGTAGAATCCCTTTAACTGGCAAAGAAACTAGTAGAAACAGACATGTGCCAAATAATCCAGCACCTGAAAATATTGTAAACTGTTTGGGACAGGGACTGTGGTGGTGTTCTGTGTTTGTATGGTGCCTAGCACAATGGGGTCATGGTCCATGACTGGGGCTCCCGCGTGCTGCTTCAATACAAAGGGCTGATGGTGATAATAAATCAGAAACTCCTACAAATACTGCATGCCAATGATGCAGATATTGATTGAGATTTTGTGCTCTGCTGCCAAGGGCATGTCTACACTAAGTGGGACGTGTAATTTCCAGCTTAAAGAGCCATACCCGCACGAGCTCTGATCAAGCTGGTGCACTAGTCGCAGCAGTGCAAGAGGTAGGAGGGTCCAGCCATCTCAAGTATGTACCCATCCAAGACCCTAGGTATGTACTCAGGGTGGCTAGTTTAGCTCTGATGGCACCATCAAGGGTATGTCTCCCTGAGCTGGAAACTACGCCTCCAGCCCAAGGGTAGACATACCATAAAGGTACAACACAGGCTAATAGGCCATGGGAAGGGGAAGAGGTGACGTACCTTTAAGTTATTTTTGTGCCACCTTGATTCTGAGCTTCTGGAGGCTCTGAAACTGTCACTGAACTGCCCAGCAGCACTGTAAGCAAATCTGTTGTGGCTTGCCCCCAGTGGTGGTGGTGTTCGTAAGATAGCCTGTAGCTGCTTTCCCCAGTTCCTGCACTTTTCCTCCCATTCATTGTTAACTGCCTACCATGCTTTTCACACTGACAAAAATAATATAACGTATGTAATGGATTGTTGAAGACAAATAAGCACTATATAAAGCATTAGAGCATATAAACTGCTATATTATGATCAGATCAACTGGCTTGGCAGTGTTAATACAGCTGGAAAGTAGCAGTAAGTAAAAGAAATTCAATGCAAACACTGACTCATAGCTTCTTACCTGCCGTGAATCGACTTTCAGGCAACAGCAGGTGCATCATTTAAAAAGGGTGTTTTGAACTAGATAAGCCATTAGTACACTGTTTAGAGCTCATCTTACTGTATCTTTTGGTAGGGCAGTACTTACAATTCACTTACTTGCAATCTAAGCAGTTAGCATCCATAGCCGCTTTCCAGCAAGGTCAGGCAAACTAAATACCCGATTGACTTGAAGGCCAAAGTTGGGAGGTGCAGGATTCTCACTGAAATTGTTTGGCTTAACTCAAATCCAGCTCCTCCTTTTTCTGCCAGGATTTTCTATGGAGACGAAATGGGATATAAGATCTTGCCTGGGTTCTTTACAGTAAAATACGGAACTGCTGCCTCCCTTCTTAATGAGCGAGGGTGAACCTTGAAAGATTTGATAGCTTCATGAGGAAATACTGATTTTTATCCCACACAAAAATGGAGGGGGCCTTAGTCTCATTTACATTAGGACCTCTTTGCACCACTCTGGCAATGTAAAATGGCTTTTCAAGTCAGTAAATAGTACAGGTTCACTAGAACTTGACACTGGAAGCCTTGGGAAGCTCAGCTGAGTGTCCAGGGTCTCTGCTCCTCATCAGCCATCCAGGAGGGCTGCCAAGGAGCCAAGAGGGTGAGCTGGCAGGAAGCCACCCTGGCAGACAGTTATGAATGCTGGCAGCCCTTTCTAATAAGTGCCAGTGAAGAGTCTTTCAAAACCTGCCTGGCAGGCAGGGTTCCAGCTGGGCCCTGCCTGGGTTCCACTGGGCCTTCTTTGAGAGCAAATGAAACGCTTTGATTTGGACTAATCTGCATTCTCCAAGAGAAGACCATTACAACAGAGAATTTCCAACCAGCTCTGACTTTCACCCACTTTACGCTGCCAATGTGCGGTAAAGGGGGCCTTAGTATAAGAGAGAATCAGGCCTCAGGTGTTCAATATCTGGGGTATTAGCTCAGCCTATTACAAATGGGGACATTTGAAAAGTTTGGATCTGGGTTTGGATTTTATACATTCCCCAAGTTTGAAATCATTCAGCTCTGAGGTCTTGGTTCAGGCTCACCTCTGCCCAAAACTCAGCTCCCTGCTTTGTGCTTAAAGGCCAGTTCTGATCATTGCAAAACGTGAAGGAGCTAAGTACTTGAGAGGCTAGGAAACAGCCATATTAAGCATTGTCTTATTCTAGCAAGCCATACTCCAGTTGGATCGTATGTTAGGCCAGCTGTTAATAATTTTACAAGCAGAGCGTGAAATAGCAGCTTGATACCTGACTAAAGGGGAGCTGCAACATTGCATGAGAAAATTTAAATGTACTACCCTTGGTGAGCAGCCATTAATGCTATTTCAAGGAGTGTCAGTGAAGAGTCTTTGATACCGTGATGGGGATACTTGCTATTACATCCATAGTGACAGCTCCAATTGACAGGATTAAAAAGACAAAATTAAAAAAAGGAATTATTTCATGCCCTGAAGTGCAGATAAGAACAGTTGCATCTCTGCTACGAGTCTTGGCTTGATGGTGGATTTTTTTCTTCTTCAGGCTTTTCATATTCTGCATGATTCTTAAATTCTCTGTCACTTTATTTTTCAGTCTCCTCATCTCTCGTATTCTTTATCTGCCAGATCATCCCTTTATTTCCAATAACCTTTATTTCTGCGTTTTTCATTCCTTCTTGCTTGCTTCCCTTGCCCTCTTTCTGTACGTTTTGGCCATGACCTAATTCTCCAAATTTTAAGATTTATCAGCTTGCAATGGGAGATGATGGCAAAAAAGCCAATCATATTTTTGGACCATGTATGAAAAGGCATCCTATTGCAGACCAGGGAAATTGACCATCTTTTTTTATGTAGGATTTTTGAGGTTGATACATCCTGTACCTCACTGGCTACCCTTCTGAGCATCTCAATACTAGACATACATTGATAAATTGGATGGAATTCAAAGAGGAAAAGAAATAATAAAGGTCAGGAATACTGACATTATAGGGAAAGATGAAAAGAAATAATATTATCTAGTTCTTCTCTGGCACTCTTCATCCATAGATCTCAAAGCGCTTTACAAAGGATGGTAAATATAATTTTCTCCATTTCACAAAAGGGGGAACTGAGGCATGGAGAGGTTAAGTGATTTCCCAAGGTCACCCAGCAGGCCAAGAACAGGAATAGAGGCCAGGGCTTCTGAAAGGCAGTTCAGTGCACTATCCACTTGGCCACACTGCCTTGTCAAGTAGATAGGTAGAAATAGATATAGCTTGGACAAATGACTGACTGTGGGAAGGCACAATAGTAGTAATCATGGCCAGATTTTTCAACCATAGGTTGCTAGTGTTAGACATCTCAATCCAAATGTAGGTGCCTAAATGATAGAATAAAGTGGATATAAAACATTACCAGATCAGAATAACGTCCTCAGGATTGGGGCACAGATGAAAGGATCAGGGTTGAGCTTCTGCCAGCACACAACTGAGGTGATCCTGCTGGGGTGAGGGAAGCAGCTGGAAGAGACAGCAGAGGTGATATCAGCCGCTGATTGAAGGAGTATGTCTGCCCTTAGTGAAGCGTTCACAGCATAGGGGTGATTTTAGACCCCAGGTGCTGTTTGAGAATTGTATTATAGCAGTGACCTAGTCAGCTTTTCACCACCTGCGTCTAGTCAGGAGGTTGTGACCTTTCTTTTGGATATGGATTATGCCACTGTTATCTGTCGCCTCTAGATTAGACTGTTGCAGTGTGCTCTATGTGATGCTACCCCTTAAAAACATTTGGAATTGAAACTGGTGCAGAACGCAGCAACTTGCTTACTGAGTGGGTCGTTTCACCTTGGTGCTTTAGGATCTGTACTGGCTTCCCATTGGTCTCTGGGGGGGGAGTTCAAGGTATTTGGTCACCTATAAAGCTCTAAATGGCCCAGGACCAGCCCACCCAAGAGATCCTCTCTCACTGGCCCATATTGTCACAGCTGCAGTCAGCTTCTCAGTCAAGCCCCTTCAGGGAAACCTGAGGCACAGAGAGGATGCTGGCCTCTGCGTCTCCTTGTGTGGGTGAGTGGCAGCAGGCCATGGTCTGCAACATCAAGCAGGGGTGCTCAAGTTGGGTTCGCCTCATTATAAAAGAGGGGGGTGTCTGGTAGGATATTCTCCATGAGGGCTCTTGTTTTATCCCCCTTGGTCTGAAACAGCCTGAATCTGTTTGAGAGGGGTTTTAGGGAGAGCTGAGGTTATCCTTCCTTGAGGATAAAGGGGATAGGTGGCTGGCTGATTTCTGTGGAACTAAAGATTTTAATATTGCTGAGATTTAATTTAATCATAACCATTAGATAGATAATTATGTTAGGGTGTCTAGAGTCTTGGATAGCCATCTTTATTATTTTAAATCTAACAATAATAAAATAAATGTATACCAGGACTAGTGTTGATGCACTCATTTTACACAGGCATATGTTACTATTTTGCAGAAGGTACAAAGGAAAATCAGGCCCAAAGTGTGTGAACTGATGCCTTACAGTAGATAACCAACCAACATAGTGCAAATTTTGAGTTGTATGTTAATTGTAAAATTTGCAACTGGAGTTTTGTGCTACGTTACATAAGTGCTCCATTCAGGGAATGGAAATACCACCACGTCACACACAACTAACAGTGAAACAGCACAAATTTTAAATGTCAGTATTCCCCAGTCTTTGCAAGTGATCAGCAGACTATAAAAATTACCCACTGAAGAAATGTGGTTATAACAAATGTATCTGAGAAGCATCAAGGCATTCTGTGATCTGTTTGCAGAATGGATTATTCCCAAACATCCAAAAAGGAAAATGTATTCAGTATATCATTTATCTGAAAATGATTTGCTTAGCCTGGATAGTAACCCTTTAAGACTGTTCTATTTACATTAAGAACCAAAGAAGATTTCTGTTTGATTCATAATTTCATTACTGGAATGTTTCTGTGTACAGTCACATTTAACCTTGCTATGATAGCGCTAGCAATTGCTATTTGAAGTTTGATTGATAGGTCATGACATGTCATACCTCCTTTGCTTATGATAAAGTAAAGGGCAAATTTGTTTACAAAGAGGACAGTCTTTGTATTAAAGATATTTCAGTAAGGCACTTTCAGCCAGTGCTCACTAGGTCACAAATCAAAATTATAAAACAATATCTTGTTCTTATAGTACATAGCACATTCTATCTGAGGACTGAATGGCCCTATATAACCATCAATTAATTTAGCCTCAGGATCTCTTGCATGTTAGGGGGAAATTGTAGTGATCCCCATTTTATAGATCAAGAAATTGAATCACAGAAAGGAAGCAACTTGCCCAAAGTCACGTGCCGCATCTATGCGACAGCCATGAGCAAAACCCATGTCTCCCAGCTCCCAGTCCCGTGCCTTAACCACTAAATCATCCTTTTTGGTGAGACATCAACAAAGATCTTCTTGGCTGAGATATGAGGCCAGTGCGAACAGTATTACCTGTGACAATCGTTGTTTTTGCTCTGGTTTTCAACTCCTTATATGAGAGATCCTCATATTTAATAATGAATTCCCTGTGGCATGGGGTTGGTTTAGTAAACCTGTTAATTCATGGTTTCACTCAACCTCCACATGAAAACATCTTTCTCTACAGGACTGAATGAGGCAGAAGACTGGGAAAAGGAAGTGTAGACTGTCACTTTCAGACTGACCTCATTGACCTTCCAATGTTACGCAAGCTCCTGCAATGTACTTTATGAGCGCAGGCTGCTGTGCCCATGTGGTGCCCCCATGACTTTAGTAGGACTCTGCAGCTGAAGGAGTCTACCCGCACAGAGCTCATTGCAGGGGCAGGGTGACCACAAGTGACCCTTTGATGATAGCCTGCTTGAAATGAGGTCTTTCCACTGGCCACTAGACTGTTGTCCATATCTAATCAGTAAGCTTCCTGCTAGCCTTTGCAGTGAAGCCAAGGCCTGCATGGGCATAGAGACTGAACTGCTCTTTCACTTCTAGAAGCCATCTGCAATTTAGGCACATTAGAAACTTGTACTGACACTTGCAGTGCTAAGTCTTGTCTGTGATTGTACTGAATACGCCAGTCTTCACAGCTGTTGCTCTGGCATCTTCCACCAATGCTAAATTCACATGAAAAGCTGGAGAGAGCAGACAGCTCCCTGGGACCCTTAGCATGCAGGCCTAACACTGGGAGGTGGTTACTAATTGAATAATGTTAGAAAGGAATAGTTGCAAAGATTTTGAACTAATAGCGCTCACAGACTGAGGAAATATGCTAATTTTATAGGCTGTTTAGCTTACAGCTATACGCTTGTCTCCACTAGATTTCAATTTGTTCTCTGTTAAATTTCTCTGACCATGATTTTTATTAAATTATTTTTTAAAAATTCTATTTTATTGAATTACTTTTTTCAATGTATTTCCTATTCTTTCAAATTTTGTATTCTTCATGACATCCTTACAATGGGAATGTTATGCATTGTACAGTCATTTATTTGCAAGCATTAGCTCTGCTGCATGTCCTTGTCTTACTTTATGCATTATTTAAGATTCCAGTTCAAGAACTAGTGTAATTGGCTTGTTTATGCCTTGTCCTCTCTGGCTTCTTTACCTTCTCTTGGTTTTATTCATATTCATAGTCTATTCCCTTATGCACCTATTGTCTTCTACCTAAAGAGTCCCCGTTTTGAACAATGAATAATTCAAATTGAGGAACACCATCACTAGATTCAGTCTTACTCTAGTGTAATCAATGGAAATTTGGCTCGACTTCAGTGAGAGCAGGAATGGTTCTTCGATCTGTTAGTTAGATAGAAGTCATTTTTGCCCTTGTTTTTCTTTATCACATGAAGCTGGCAGTATGTTGCTGAATTTATTATATTGACCTCAAAAGCACTGGGGCATGTGTAGGAGAATTAGGATTTTGAACATGTATATGACTAAGTAGGTGCCTATAAATCAGGAGGATGAAAATGTGTGTACAGTTTTGCATGATGAACATTTGAAATTCTTGCCGATTAATTCAAAATACTAGTCACAATATTTAATAATTCCAACAAGTTGCTGTTTCTTATGGAGAAAATGGCTTTTGATTGACCTGCCGTGGTATAAAGTGTCATTTGAAGTCACACACAATAGAACTCCAGCTGCAGAAATAACTTGGATTCCCAGCGCTGTTAATAGCATCATAATTAGCATAAACACTCAAAAGTGTAGAGGCTTAGTGAGATTTCAAGTCTGCCAATAATGGGCTGGAAAGCCCATCAAAAGCCTTCACAACACACAATTTATCTTTTGCATTTTGCCCTTTTTTCTGTTTGTAAATGATTCGTCAGGCTGTTTTTACTAATTTGTTCGTTGTCCAAAATTATTCAGCCAACGTTTGGTGCTAACATATTTCAGGCTGTGAATTGTTAACCAGCTGTTTGCTGTAAGAGGTCCTTTGAGTATTCAATATTCCAAATTCATATTGGCCATTTGAATGGTTTTCACTGCACACATAGGTGATGTTTTTTTCTGACTGGATGAGCATAACGCTTAGGACCAGATTTCCAGTGCCAGTACTTGTGTCTGCTAATTTGAATTTCACGGTCTATGAACCTGTTGCCGACTTAATCTATAGATCCCTTTTCAGCAGGAGAGTTGGTTGCTGGAATACTCACACAAAGTGAGTAAGCTTAAACAATGGGATCAAAACTTCAGAGTTAAATTTTGGCACTGTTTGCCCAGGTCTGTTTAAGAGACCAAGCTGTTCCCATAAGATTTCCAGCTCTACCTTTCTTCCAGTAGGGCAGAAATATTTAATGAACAGCCTTTCTCATGGTACATTTTGTAGCATTTCTATTAACTGAAGGAGAATTTGTATTTAATATTAGTTTGGGTTGAATGTTGGGGTTGATTCTCAATTTATTTGATTTGGATTCCTCTTCCTTGCTCAAAATAAGGCTGTCTCTCTGCATACAGTAGAATCATCGGCACTGGTTAGTGGTCACAAAACAAACACAATGGGGGAAATCCTCAACTTGTGTAAGTTTGACTTTTAACTTTAGCTTTGCAGCAGCTTGTTGAATAGCATTTGCCAAAGACAGAAGCTGGCAAAATTGGGCTTTTTTTTTTTGCGCCTTTACAAAGCAGTCCTATTATTTCTGACTATTTCATGTTTCAGCATGTTCAACCATAGCATACGTTTCCAAGTGGCATTCTGTGGATTATTCTTGTAGTATCTAATACTGATATTCAAACTTCTGCACCAAAGCCACTGTGGGGCAAATGCATGTATCAAATGGAAACTCATGTATCCACCATCGAATGCTCCTAATTTTACATCAACCAATTTTTTGTTTTTGACAGAATCATGCAGACCAGCATGAAGGATGGTGAATTCACAAGTACTAACTGTTTCACATGTAAACAAATTGAACTGACATTCATATTTGCAAAATAATGATGGGCTTTTTCTTTTGAACCAAACCTATCAATTATTGAGACTTCATAGGATTGTGTAGAGAAGTGACTCTTCTCCAGCCCATTCCAACCTGTTCTTGCCTCTACTGGGGTTTGGTCCAGGGACAACCCTACTGAAGTCTCAAATGTACCCGATATTGCTGATCCCAAGAGTTAAAAAAATGAGTCAGCCTCCCAGAAATCATGAGATTTAAAGAATACATATTGAGTTCTTTTTAATTTGTCTTGTGGTTTCTGAGGCTTTGGGATACATTTGGTTTATGTTTTGAAGCTTTTCTCTACTACCAGAAGGGCTAGAAACTTCCAAGATTTTAGTAAAAGTTGATATTCTTATGTAATCACTAAACACCAGGCGCTGGGGCTTTCAGGAAAGAACCTTGTATCGTGAGATTTGCAATAAATTGCAAAAATTGTCAACATGTTAAACCCTTAGGAGATCTGGTTTAAACCAAGCTGCTCAGAGAGTAGTTCTTGTAGCCCTCGTACAGCAAACTCCTCCCATCCACGCCTTTTCCTCAGGCTTCATTCATGACTCTGTTCCAAGCTCTCTAGACATCCATCAGAGGTCTGGTTCCCTTCCAGTACCTCTCCTCACTGGAGAGCGCAACCACCAGCCCTTCACTCTGGGTCTACTCTGGTTGCCCGATATCCCTACTCCTTTTCCCAGCAAAGCCTACCAGTTCCGTGTTAGCTAAGAACAACCTGCCCTCCAGTGCCTCTGTTTTGGGTGGAAAGCAGGAATAGGGCAGCCCTGGAGTTAGAACCTCCCTTAAAGAGCCAACACAGCCTACGAAAGATCCATTTTGCTAGTACGCTTTACACTCCTTTTTATTTCACAAATTATTTTAACAACACACACGTCATATCCAGCAAATGAACCGCATCAGCTCACTTAGCAACCAGTCCAAACCTTTGTTTCACAATCCTCCAGTGGAAATTCTCAGATATTTAGCAGATAAATTATATAAACAGAATGCTTTATTGAGTGATGTGCCATATCTTAAGAATATTAGAAATCAATAGCAATACAAACTGAAAATTAAGTAATGTGGTTAAGCACCTCTGAATGATGCCATTTTAAAGAGCAGATTAGAAATAAATATGCCAATTGCTATGTAGCCTATATCTGAAATAAAATGATGATAAATCAATGTAAGTCAGTGAGAGAATGAGATTGTCTTAACAAGAGCCAGAGAACGTGCTGTGCATGACTTGTCAAGAGAGACAAGAAGCTGGAGCCTTAGTGACACAGCAGCTGCAATACGATAGGAAGCACGTGAACACTAAGAGAAACAAGGAACAAAAATAGAAGTTCAAGATCACCATTCACATCAGTTGAGCTAGAGATGAACAAGGAAAGACTTCTAACGTGTAAGTGGATGGCCAGTGAGTTCTGATAGCATTACTTGGTTCAGTTGAGGATAAACTACTTAACCTACTAACCCAGGATGATATGCCAACAAAAATAATGAAGTGACCATCGTAAACTATCCAAAACTGTCTGAATTTTGTTTGGGATACCCAGTTATCAAACCACAGAAACATCTGCATTATTCAACCAGCAGCTCATTCAGACTGATTCAGAAGATAACTCATATCGATCAAGGAGCCAGCATATAACTGCCACTTCATAATCTATTATTTTCCTAAATAAAAAAAAATCCATGCTTAAGCAAAGCTTACGCATGTGAGTAATGCTTACTCTTGCCACTAGTCCCATTGAAGTAAACAGAATTATGTGAGGATGGATTACTTGTGTGAGTAATGTGTCGGGAACCTTTAAAAAAATATAGAAGATTCAAACTGGGAGAGCAAAGAAGAATGTGATCCATCCGGCATTGTTATTACTTCAATGTAACTTACTCGGAGGTTCCCATGATTATTGCTGAATAATATTTGCTTTTTCTTTATTATTAATGCATTCTGGATTAGAGGACCTAATATTTTTTGCTTTGGGCCAGATTCCCATGTCTTTACTCCTGCTGAGTGGTGCTTTTGTGCCTTGAGTAGCTAATCCATTGCCAAGGAAGCTACATCATGAAGGAGAGTAGCAGAATCTGGCCCATAGTATATACCAATGTGAAGAAGACTAGGAGAGGGGTTCTCCCTCCATTACAGCTCCTATGGTGGCGTCAAGGGGGGTGTAGAATACCAGTATGCCCAGAAAGAAAATCTGCCTTGGCGTCCAGTGTGATGATTAGTTTAACCCTCTGCATGAGAGTAAACACACCAATGTTAAATTAAATGACCAATCCCAGTCATACTCTGAGACACCACTGGAGAGAGTCAAAATCGTAGTCCATTTCTCCCCTAATGTGCTTTGGATACGGTTCGTACCTGTCAAAGCAGGAAATTACAAACACAGGGAAAACAAAGTCCTGCCATGATTTAACTTTAGCTTTGTAGCAGTTTGTAATTTTCAGGACTGCCCATGTTTTCAGTTGCTTCGTAGTTCAAGAACCTTGCCCTAATCTGTAGACAAGAAACTTGTAGACAAGAAAGAGATACTTGTAGCCTGCTCTGCAAAGCAAATCGAAGCAGTTCTGGCATTTGGTCTTGGTGACGTTATTCTTTTTTGCACTGCAATTTTCCTTTAGAAGCTTTATATTATTAAACTCTTTCAGTGGTATATAGCTATGCTGGCAGAGACATGAAGCTATAAATGGTGTACAGACAGTATGGCAATAGGCTAGCTAGATTACCCAGATGAGAAAGTGAGAAAGAGAAAGAGGATGAAAATATAATATATATTATGGTCCAGTAGTTCTGCAAACTTTGTTTAATATGTATTCTTTTAAAGTTGATGCTGGTTTAACACAGCTGATATCTCTAGTCCTCAGCAAAGCAGATACAGTACTGCCTCTGACAATATGCCTGCTTCTGCAACCCAACCTGTTAATGTGGATCATCTCCATTTTCGAGGGACCACCTCAAGGGATTAGAGTCAGTAAATCGGTCCCCATGCTTATTCTGTCCTTCACCTCTCTACTGAGCTGTCAGGTAAAGTGTGCATAGATGCTGGAGCTATGGGTGCAGGGGGTGCTGCAGCACCCCCTAGCTTGAAGGGGGTTTACAGTCGGTTCAATGGCTCTCAGCACCCCACTATACAAATTGTTCCAGCACCCCTGAAAGTGTGTATGGTAATGGATGTTTTTGAGACAGACACCTGTACTACAGGAACTAGATGAAGGCCACTAGCTCATTTTTCATATGCCGCACATGGCAACAATTTCTAGCCATTTCATCTTTGGTCTGGTGCATACTAATGCCCCAGAGATTAAAGTTTCTGTATCCTTGAGCCATCCAACCTGACTGTAAACACACCTTTATATTGGTCTGGAATTCCATGATAGCATACTTTCATTTCTGTAATTGTTCTCTGTAAATATCCCACCAAAGTCATCACAAAACCCACACAATGGGGCAAATCCTCAACTAGTGTAAGTTTGGCATAGCTCCATCAAAGTCAGAGTATGACTATTTACACTGGCTGAGGATCATAGAATATCAGGCTTGGAAGGGACCTCAGGAGGTCATCTAGTCCAACCCCCTGCTCAAAGCAGGGCCAATCCCCAATTTTGCCCCAGATCCCTAAATGGCCCCCTCAAGGATTGAGCTCACAACCCTGGGTTTAGCAGGCCAGTGCTCAAACCACTGAGCTATCCCTCCAACACTGGATGTGGTCCAGTGTTGTCACAGTGATAGAAGGAAAAAATGTTAATCCTGCTTTTTAGTGTATTTGAATACTTCAAATTTTGATGCATTTTTACCATTTTATTATTTTTCCCATTGTTTAAAAAGATCTGTTCCTTTCAGATCTATAACATTGCAATAAAATCCTATGAGAAGAGTCACTAATAAAAGAACATTAGTCAGTGAAATGTGCTGCGATAATATACACTAAGTAGATTGGCTCACCTTGAATGCTTCTTTCATTGAGTACTTTGGGGCAGTGTGTGCAAGCGCTTCTCACGTATGGTATGGCGACCTTGCCTGCTCTTTCCTTCCTGCTCTTCTCCTTCTCTTTTTATTCAAGGATGTGGCTGCCAGACTCAGAGCCCACCTCCTGCACATTCTTCCCAGGAGGCCCTGTGAAATCAAGTTACTCAATGTGTGCCAACATGGCTTTTGTGCCATAGAAGGCAGAGCTAAGAGCTGGTTCCACTGCCAAGAACACAGGCAGAGTACACTGAAAAAACCCCAAACCCTCCATTTTATTCACTGTACTGTTTCACCCTTTTTAAATAGCTAGTATCTGCAGCTGGTTGCAGTGGGGAAAACCTATAAACATGGCACTTGATGTTAATAAATGTGTTTGCCATTAAGTGGCTGTTGTAATGCTCTGCTTGTTCGCCTTCCTGTGTGCACTTTCATCCTTCACTGTAACACTACAACTGCCTTGTAATTTGTCTCAGACGTTTACATTGCTGGCTACAGGTATACAAACCTCTTACATCAAGTAACTGTTCAGACACTTGATAAAAGGATCCATTCAGGGTCTTTGCTATTCTGTCTGCCAAATTCAAGAGCAGCCTTGATGCATGGAATACAAACCACCTTCTAGTCATAGACCACATTTTGCTTCTCCTTGACTCCCAGCTGAATAGGAAAAACTCTTAAATGTTTATGTGAGATCTTTAATGCACACTCCGCTTCCTCCGATTTTACCAGAGGTCTAAAGATGTCTCCTGTGGCTGCTCTCTCTCTCTCCAGAACAGCTGGAGCAGCTATTCCTAGAATTCTCTGAGTGAAGTCCATATTTCAAATAATTGAAAGTGACTCATAACAGCCTTCTCAGTGGGATGGCAAGAATTATTGTCTCTGGAGCAAGCCTACTGTAGATGGAGTAGTCAGCTCAGAACATCAGCTCTGGAGTGCCAGGGAATGCTCCGTCTGCTGTAGAGGTGGCATTTTCCTGACTATGTTAATACCATCCTCCCCTTCCCCCCAAAAATAGGTCTTGCTCTTCTCTCTTCCAGCAAAACTCAAATATAAAAATTGACTTTAGAGACCCATGAAACAGCTAAAGTGAAGTGCTTCCCACCTTTTGGTCAGAAGCCTGTGGCTGGTTTCTGAGGTTCTGGTTCAGTAGTCCATCCCTGTTCAACAAAACACTTAAGCCTGAGCTTAAAGCTCATTGACTTAATCATATGTTTGAAGTTAAGCACAAGCTTATGTGCTTTGCTGAACAAGGATGGGCATAAAGCAGTGTTTAAATGTTTTCCTAAACTGGGGCCTGAGTACAGCAGTGTGCCCTTGTTGCCAAGAAGGCCAATGGCATTTTGGGATGTATAAGTAGGGGCATAGCGAGCAGATCGAGGGACGTGATCGTTCCCCTCTATTCGACATTGGTGAGGCCTCATCTGGAGTACTGTGTCCAGTTTTGGGCCCCACACTTCAAGAAGGATGTGGATAAATTGGAGAGAGTCCAGCGAAGGGCAACAAAAATGATTAGGGGTCTGGAACACATGAGTTATGAGGAGAGGCTGAGGGAGCTGGGATTGTTTAGCCTGCAGAAGAGAAGAATGAGGGGGGATTTGATAGCTGCTTTCAACTACCTGAAAGGGGATTCCAAAGAGGATGGCTCTAGACTGTTCTCAATGGTAGCAGATGACAGAACGAGGAGTAATGGTCTCAAGCTACAGTGGGGGAGGTTTAGATTGGATATTAGGAAAAACTTTTTCACTAAGAGGGTGGTGAAACACTGGAATGCGTTACCTAGGGAGGTGGTAGAATCTCCTTCCTTAGAGGTTTTTAAGGTCAGGCTTGACAAAGCCCTGGCTGGGATGATTTAACTGGGATTTGGTCCTGCTTTGAGCAGGGGGTTGGACTAGATGACCTTCTGGGGTCCCTTCCAACCCTTATATTCTATGATTCTACAATGATAGGCATGTGACAAGATTGGGACAGAAAGGTCTGCCATCCATCCTTCCCACTGACTATGACTGGGATAGGGCAAATGAGAGAGTAACCAGAGGGAGAAGGCAAGATTGAGGGAATTTTACTACAGTTGCCAGAAATGCCACAGCTAACGGTCATTGTTTTGAAACAGTACTCTAGGACACCGCAGGGTGTTTATAAGGGCTGAGAGCCAATCACTGTGATAGTTACAAAGCATGATAATTAAGGTGATTAGAATTAGATTCCAGTCAAGAAACTGGCCAGTTCCCAGGTGCATATAGCCTGGGGATTGGCTAATTTCCTGGTTTGTGATGAGCTCACTAGGGGCTGCCATACATGGGGAGGAAAAAGTTTGTGATGGGTGGGAACTGGAGCTGGGTTGGGATGCCTGCCTAAGAGTTCCACCCTAGCTATCCCCAAAGAGGAAACCACTCACTTTTCCACAGTCAGCTCTCTTAGTGAGAGGTGCGAATCCTTCTCCTTTCTTCAGTTCAGTAAGCAGCATGCCTTGCTGAATGAAGCCGAAGAGAGGTGAGCAGGGAGAGAGGCTGACAGCCAACTTGGAGTGGAGGGGCTCTTTATCGTGAGGGTTGCAACTGGGACTCGTTTTGAGGAGAAGAGAGAAATGGAGGGAACTGTGCTAGCCTGGGACATGGGCCAAATGTTGTGGTGTTCTGTTTTGTTATGTTCCCGAGTGATCCCAACACGTAGCTGCATGTAGAGCTCATTACTATAGTCTCCCTGTGAAGTAAAAAGGATGAGTGTAGCAAATCTACATCCTAAAGAAATGGTCACGCTCACTGCCAATTGCATTCTTAGCTGTGGTGGCCTAAGGTGCCCTAGACAAGTATATCCCTCCTCAGTATCTCACTGCCATTTGCTCAAGGTGTGTACCTTGCCTTGGTGTCCTAGGAGTTAACAGTCAAAAGAGACAAAGCACATTAAACTTGTAGCAAGAAAAATGTTCCGAGACCCATACAACCCTGGAGTATAACAAAAGGACTATGGAAGAAAATTAGACAGAGATTAGACTTTATTCACAGGGTCAGAAAAATCAGGAAGCTAAGTGGATACATCAACAGGCTAATAAAATAGTGTGGTGACATGATATTTATACTCTCACTTCTCAGGATGAGACTCAGATGAGACTTGGAGCTTGATTCATGATCACTCTTCAGCTCCTCTGCACCATCAGCTATAAGACCCCCACTGGGGAATACCTTCAACGGAAGGCACCTGTCTGGTAGGTGCAGAGCCAACTCTACTGTCGCACTCCTCCCCCCTTGCAGGACCACTTGGTACAGGGGGTATATCAGGGTAAATTAGGAGTGGAAGGGGGCATTGCAACTGCTAGAAGGCCCTTAGGGACCATACCAGTCAGCGCACAAGGTAGAGCAGCCTTAAGGACTACCCTCAGCTGCACCAAAAACTGAACTGGACCCGCCCCCCCCACAAGTGGGGAAGCACAAACCATCTCTTCTCAGTCATCACAGTGTTCTGTGCCAGTGCAGGGTTGAATCAGACCCTCTGTCAGTCATTTTCTCCTGCATGAAAATATTTTTCTAGATGGTGGAGGCAGTTCTGCTTTGTCCCTTTCAGCTGTGCCCTCCGCACAGGCTTGAGGATCTGTTTTTTTACTTTGGGCTTTTGCACAAATTTTAGTTTCCAGATGAGGTGTTTGGAAGATTCCTGGTACATTCCCAAGAGGAGACCTTAGTATAGTGAGCAGAGTCTGCAGCTCTCCGCTGCTCTTTAACCAACTTTGCCATCTTGGATTTTCAGGATACTGACATATTGAGTGAGAATTATCTATTCTTATTCAGTGATTCAAGATATGTAGGTGGCAGGAAAGTATATGCTCTGTAAGGTGTAATTATCTCTTTTTAGCACTGAGCTCTTCAATGCAGCTTTGATTGTGATACCTCTACATAGCCTGATTAAATCAAAACCAGGTTAGGGCATTAGGATTAAGGACGTAAATGAATTGTAATTACATCAGAGCCAGCCAAATTAGCGAGTCATCAGTAATGTAAGCTATGCTAAATGGCATCTAATTCTGAATAATAATTAATTTGGTTCCATTAAATAAGACCTGACACATGCTGGTCCTTTATCAGCCCCCTAAAGGCTGGTTAGCCTTAGGCACCTCTAGTGCTTATTGGCCCAATGTTTTGTAAGAACTCCTGTACTTACAACATTAAAAAGACTTTCATCCTTTTTCCTTCATCCTTCTACTAAAGTCTGAAACCCAACATGTGCATGACCCTACTGGTGCTCAGCGCAGTAGTTTTCTCTGCTGCTGCTGGTCTCCTTTTCTCTCCAGTGTGTTTGCTCCACTGCTGCTGTTTGCCAGAACTCTACCATGGGCACAGCAAGGACAGAAAGAGCTCGACAAGTCAGAGAGAGGGGAGGGGAACAGATAAGAACAACAAAAATGATCATGGGTTCCTGGGGGAACTGATGTGAGGCAAGATTTAAGCAGTTAATTGTGAAGGCTAAGAGAGGACATCAGAGCAATCTAGACCCTTCATAAATATTTGTAAACGCCAAGGAGGGAGATGAACTGTGTGACACACAGGGATGAAATTAAGAAACTCAAAATTTAGGATAAATCTCAGGGAACAAATTCTGAAATTAGACCAGAAAAAATCCTAGCAAATATGTTGTAAAAGCCATCCAGCATTGGCAGATGGATCAATAGGTCATTGCCATTTCTCACAATAATAGTTCTGTTATTCCGTATCTATTCTGGAGATGCTGCTGCTGCTGCCCTCTTCCTATTGGAAGGGATTTAGTTTGTCTGCCAGATACAGTTCACTAGCCAGTCTCTCTGAACTGTGGGGCTGATGTCCCAGTGTTTCAAGAGCTTTATAATTATAAATCTTGAGCAAAGAAAACCACATTAGCTGTTTTGAGTCCTTGATCTGGCCAGCCTGTGCTCAGTGCAGGGCTAGAGGGGAAGCAAAGCTGGCTTTAAACCACCTTTGCATTCCACAGATCCCTGCAGCTGCCAGGGGCCAGTTTGGCATGCCCTCCTGTGTAATTTGAAGCAGGGCTGTCATTGTGGTTGTGGAATAGCAACACAGCCACTGGACTGTGAAGGAGAGTTTCTTCCTGACTGTG